AGGGAAAGTAAATACTTATGCAGTGTAGCTTTTCAGAAGAATTTTCTTTTAAGAGTTGTTTTTCATTATTAAACAAATGTAAATATCCCTCCCCACATTCCCACATTTATTATTTGTTTTTAAAGACATTCGATTCGATTAGATTAGATTAAACGGCATCAATGTTGTCCAAGTCCATATCACAGCGCCGCCTGTGTGTAAAAATTAAAAACTGGGTAATATTAGCGCTTTTTGTCGGGCGCGGCTATCTTGTCTGCTAGAGGGGCTATAGCCTTAGTCTGCTCCGGGGCCGCCGGATGCTCCGTGATGGATGAGGAATGACAGATCGGGGTTAGCCGCCAGTGGAATCCATTTTGTTCTAGTGCAGGGTCCTACCCCAGGTGAAAACAAAGGAGAGACACTATACGCAGCGGAGAAAGGGACAAGAAACAGAAAAGGGAGCGACCGGCTTCCACCCTTCTTCTTTCCCCCCTCTGTCACTCTCTCTCTCTCTCTCTCTCTCTCTCTCTGTTCACTGCCTCTGTGCATCACTGGGCTTTACCCGGACTGCACCGCATTGACGCTGCTGCTGCTGCTGCTGCCAACAGACCCAACCCAGTGAAATAACACACCAACATACACAGAGCGAGAGAGAATTTGTCTTTTTGGATGCTAATAATCACAGCTGGAAACTGGATGTTGTACGGATTATGTGTGTGGATATGCAAAAATTCCATTTCTTCGTCTCTTTGCTTCCTTCTCTCTGATTCGCTGTCCTGCTCGGTAATGTCAAGACTTTGGAAGCGGGAGTGACGCCGGGAGGTGGCGGCGGTTTGGAGATTATTGCAGCTGCAGCACACAGTGCATGGCAAGAGACTGGGATTTAATTTACAAGTTTGCAGAGTTCACGTCCTGAATGTAGCTATTCATACGAAACCGTGAGTCCCCCCTCAGTGCTGTTTCCAACATGGGTGTTGACTGAATGGAAGAGTATCCCCGCTTTGCCACAGAGGTATGAGGATGCACTTGTGAGGATTTAAGGTGCGTTAAATAATTCCTGGACCATGCAGATTCTGCTGCCTAGGACGTTATTTGTGTTACTAGTTCATGCACATGTATTATTAACTCTGAGAAATAATGGAGACGTACGAACTAAAGACAGCAACACCAAGGCATACACTGCCAGGACCTTCTATGGGTCAATCTGGGAAAGTCATCAAAACAAAGCCAGAGACGGTGTGCTCTCGTCGGGATACGCTACAGGTGCGTCATCGGCAGAACTGCAGGTACAGCCGGCAATTATCAGAGGGACCATTAATTCCACTCGTCCCTGGAACAGGGTAATTGCGGGAGAAATGAGGCCAATTGGACACAACAAACACGATTTTAGTAGGACTGTGACGCCCATGGAGGATCCCAACGCCCTCTCTCATCCGACGCGACAACATAATAAGAGGATAAAGCTGAATTGCTGTCTTAGCAGTACGTGGACGCCAGCAGGTGGACACTACAATGTAGCTAAACCCTCTTCAATGGGCCGGGGAGAAGGAGGGGGCGGACCCGAGGAGGGGGACAGGAGCAGAAGAGGCACAAAAGAAGAGCAGAAGAAAGCCTGGAAGCGGGGCAGAAACCGGCTGAACAAAAGCTCAGTGCTTTTGGCTCAGCTTCACCCGCCGCCGTGGGAACCCATCCCCAAGCCGGTGGCTCTTACCTCCACCGACCTGCCCTTTGACCTCTTCACCAAGAGGGCTGAGTTCATCACTTTCAAAGAGGAGAACCCCTGGGATGCAACGCCGATCACCCCTCCTAGCTCGCAGGATTTCGGAGATGAGATCAAGAACCCTTTTTACCCGGTGACAAGTGAGACTTATGGCGCGTATGCGATAACATGCGTGTCCGGGGTTATTTTCCTCGTTGGGGTAGCGGGCAACATCGCTATCCTGTGCATCGTGTGCCAGAACTACTACATGAAGAGCATCTCCAACTCACTGCTGGCTAATTTGGCTGTCTGGGATTGTGTGCTCATCCTCTTCTGTCTGCCCATGGTGGTTTTCCATGAACTGACTAAGTCCTGGCTGCTGGGGGAATTTACCTGCAAGGTGGTGCCCTATGTGGAGGTAATTCTGTTCTGTTCTTTCTTGTATTTTGTGTTCAGCTTTTTATTTTACTCCAACTGTGTTGGGGACTGGTATTTTATCTTGTAATTATGTTTTGAAGTGGGGATGACAGATAGTAAATGGGGTTCAGCCAGTGTCATTTACATTTTATTCACCTTGTCTCAATGTGGTCACACTCTACACTGATAATAGGTGTAATCTGTTCAGCTTGGGGCTATGAAAATGAAGCTGCACAGTCCTGTTATCTGTGTACACTGACTTATAGAGTTGAGTTTCAGTTGTGAAGCCCTGACAGGTCAGGAAGTACACAGGCAGGGGTATAAGGATGTCACCTCAGTCAATTATAAGGACACTTTGTCACTTGTACACCTACTACTTCTATAGAGAGAAAGAGAGATCCTTACCTCAAGGCACGTAAACAAGACATGCACCAGGATATAAGGCAGAAACTCACTATCTCCCTTTCACCCTGACTTACACATAACACTGCATTTATCTTGTTACTTGTGTATACAGTGCAAACAAAAAAGAAAAAAAAAGACAGCATTGCATGTTTGTATGTCACACACCTATGTTCATGAGTAACAAAGGAATACAGGATGTTTACACCTTCCCTTTGTGTGCTCACTGCAATTACAGCAGTATCAGATTCACCCAGAAGTCTTTGTCTTTTGTACAGAGCAGGGGTTTCTAGCTCAGGGGTCATAAACTTGTCTCAAATGGCCATTATCACAAACTGGCACAAGTAAGCACACAGCACATGTAGGATTTAAAAGGTTTATCTTAACCAAAATATAAATAAATTAGACTACATGAGACCAAAACTGAAAGAAATGGATGTATAGGTGGTGTCTAAGGTGCACAAGCAAGTGAAGCACATGTAACCAAACCCCAGAAAACACTAGGCTGGTCTTCTGTATCTACTGTAGGCAGCAAGCCAGAACAGGTGACCAGCATTAAACTTTGACTCTACTCCACCCTCCAGACACTACAAAGCCTGAAGGCAGGGAGGGTTGTCGCATAAAGGCATAAGCAGGTCAACACTATGTTATTATCCTGATATCGCCTGTGAAACTGGAAGAAGACAGAGCCCAACTGTATAAAAATAGCCTATGCAATCAGAGCGCTGTCAGTCAGTTCATGTGCACCTATCACTGGGGTATAGTTTGAGTAGAAGTCCTGTTCCTATGAATTCATTTATTTGCATCAATCTATGATCCAAAACCAATAAACAGAAATTGCTCTTTTACTGACTCCTTGTGACCACATACAGTATACAATATGGATGTGTTCTCATTTGCTATTTCTCTGTTGCACAATATGCTGCAAAACCCTTGTGAGTACATACTGTGTTTTTAATTTAGGGGTGGGGGTAGCAAGGGGAAACAGATCCCCTTTCTGGGTCCTTACATATCAGCTATGCAAGGACCAAGGATATTATTTAATAACCTTTGTTTACCTTATTTAAGTGCATAAACAAAATGTGTGTGGATGTACATAGGAGTGGATTTATTAATATTGCATACAGTATGTAATGTATATGCATTTTATAGTACATATCTAATAGGATGTCTGTGTTTACAATGGCTTCGAATGTGTGTGTGTCTTTGTGCATGAGCATGCATGCGTCAAAACAGGCTGCGAGTAATGCAGCCTGGGGCTCTCTCTCCCTGCGGAACATTCAGTGAAACACAGAGACACACACACATTTGTACTATCAAGTGACTTCATTCTTCACTTAACCCAAATTCAGTCACAGGGGACATCAACATTTGGCCAGAAATAAAGACACACATGTATACACACAACATTCACACACAGGCATTTTCAAGCAAACATGAATCCCAAATTCATGCATAGTCAGAAGGTGGTAAAGCTAATGTGTGTC